TAGTCAGTGTTTTTATCCTCCCAGACAAGTCTGGGAAGATAAAAACACTGACTAAAAGGAAAGGGAGGAAATAATGTTATAAGTGGTTTGGCAGAAGGCTAAACATAGCTAACTGCAGTAGTCTATAATTTAAGTGTACGATCAACAATGGTAATTAGGTGAAGTAACTCCAGCGTAGTTATATAAAATGCATATCTAGCAGCAGCATGAACCAGTGAATCAGCACAAGGGTGAGCCAGAATTGAAAGTAAGGGCCAGTATCAACTTCGTATAATAATCTGGTACCAATTAACCGACCCCGGATGGAAGGCTTGGTTGGCCCGGGCGACTCACGACCCAGGATTTGATCCCCGGACCGCTCGCGTGGTAAGCGTGCCACTTGCCACTACACCACTTCCGCCCTTCCAACATAATACTGTTTAATTGAGTAGGCAGTTGACGCGTCTACGAAAAGGCAGAAAGCCCCTTTCAGCGAAGGCAAGAAACCCTTCTTGACAAATTCGAGCAAGTGAAGTACCACACTGCGTTTCATACTTAGAGAACATCGCAAATGTCGCTACTTTCAAACTTGTACTACTACACTCTAAAGTGAAACACTGTTCCTGGCTTGATTTTGGTTTGCTAAAAAAGAAGTGACTAGTCTAAAAATGGGTGCAATAATTGGTCGCTCGTCTTCACCTCCTCATCCTTCAGTCATTCAACACGGCACTGGACTTGAAGACTACTGACGACATTTCGATAATGTCAACGGATAAGAGCATTTCATCGTAATGGCCTAGATGATGATGACAAACGAATCATATTCAAGATGACCAGTCTGAAGAGTCTAGAGAGATTCACCTTTTCTCTAGCCGGTTCTCCACGTAGTCGTTGCTCTCATGGGAGATTCTTTTTGCATTTCCTTGTCTAGGAAAATCCCTGAATTAGATAACAAAATGAATATTCTTTATCTTTGAAAAAAACGATTTTGGACAACAGTCAGCTCCTCTTCTCGGCCTGATTGGGGCCACATACATAGCTGTTCGAGCGTTTGAACAGTATGAGTCGCCAATACTTTGCCCATCCATCCTACCTGAATCCTAGCACGCCACGTAAGTTTGTCCCTTGAGAGAAAGGCTGAGACAACATGAAAATTTCCTCTTTGCCATTAGTACCTACTCTTTACCCTGTGAAAAAGAGAATCCAGTTGGCTCACAATAATTTTTCCTTCCCAAAGTACTAGGATTCTAGGGAGCATTCCGACCAGAAACTATAGTAGTACCGGTAATCCAGCATGAGGCTGTCTATCCCAATTAGGAGGCGAAAATTGCTACATTCAACCCAATATCAGCGTATTTCTTATTTCATGGTATTCAGGGATAGCTGACATGACTTCCATTTCGACCTTCTTTCTTCTTCGACTAAACACGGAGGTCGGACTGAGCAGTGGATTCCAATATGTGATTCTATATTGTTTCGCAGCCGGTAATGCAGCTTTCACCGCACATTTGATTGGTAATATGCTCATCACTGTCAATCGATTCTCTTCTATTTGTCTCATGTACAAATATAAGAAGGTTTGTCTTGCTTGGATGGAGCATTTTCCTAGCATAGCCTTTCAGGTGTTTCTTCCTTTTCTTTCTTTTTTATAGCTACAAGAACATGCAGGGTGGCTAAAAAGAGTAGAACGGCATGTCTTTAAGTGAGAAAGTCAAGACAGAGACTCTATCCACAGACCAAATTCGCAGTGAAATAGAGTTGGGCTATTTGATAACTAACTAAATGAGTGCTCTAATCGTAAGCTTGATGAATCTACTTCGACAAGCCTTCTGACGTCCGACGACAGAATCAGCAATGCGCCGTGGGCTACCTGAAGCAAACTTGAAAGCAACCACAAATCTGTAGAAGTCTTCTAAGTTTTGAACTCTCCCAATCTCACAAAGATAAGCTCGGGAAAGTCCTCTGATTGAAAGGGTCACAAACACTTGCTCCAGTGGCCGGGGGAAGGGAGCACCTGGAACCGTTTTGATCGCTTTGAAAGTGTATTAGGAGAACCCATTTAAATTGGCGAGCTGACGGTCGCTGAGCAGAATGCTCTTGATGTCATAAGAACATGGTTTCCCTCGACATAGTCTTTTGCGTAACCATCGAATCAATGTCAACATTTTCTAAACGTGAACACCAATAGACCTTCACTTCTGGATGTGAACTCTTCACAAACTATCCGCCTTCGAAAGAAAGTCTGTTGTAAACAAAAGCTTTCTCTCATGCATGATCTCACATCTCTTTTTGGCAACAGCTGCTTCTGGCTGTGACGTACACGAAGGAGTTAGTTTAGAAAATTTCTCATTATTTCGAATCGTAGGAGAGATACGCCTCGAGCTCAAGCAGAAACTTTTTCATTTTATCACTTCATTTGTTTGTATTGCTAAAATAGAAGGAAGTATGTGTAGATAAAGGATAAAGGATAAAGCATTTGCCGTTGATCAATCCCTTTTTGGGATGCGGCACGCATTCTACTTCCATTTGTACATTCGTAGTGGCGTTTGAATGCGATGTGGCCTATACAATGACTTGCGGGGCCAGCCGATGTACAAGTCAGTGTTTTTATCCTCCCAGACAAGTCTGGTACCAATTAACCGACCCCGGAGGGATGGAAGGCTTGGTTGGCCCGGGCGACTCACGACCCAGGATTTGCAGTATTGGAGGACCCACCGATAGCAGCACTCAGTCTGCAATCGCTGGTACGATCGCGCTTGCCTGACCCCCCACTGTGTCATCTGTCCTAACGGGCGGGAGGGTGACTGCATGGCATCGTGTGTGGTCTACCTCATATCATGTGCACTCTGCGGGGAAGGAGTACATCGGGGAAACTGGGCGGCCCTTGTGTTCCAGGATCAAGGAACACCTAGACGGGCTAAGAAGATCAAGGCCTGAGACCCCCCTGGGTGGTCATCGGTTGCAGTGCCATGGAGGCGCGGAGTTTGAGGTCACTGTAAGGATCCTGACGCGAGAGCCCCACACTTCAGCGCGCAAAACTTTGGAGGCCTTTTGGATAAGCGCTAAAAACCCAAAAATAAACAGGAAAGATGAATGCCTAGCCATAACAGTGAACTCGCACCTTTCGCTGACCTTTGTGGGCTTCGAGCGCCATCGGCTCCATGCCGATGGGCTAGGTCATCCGAAGCCACCCACAGTGAGTCAGTCTAGCGGTGGTCTCAACAAAATCCTACCGTACATCTAAGGTGAGTCGACTGGTGCTTGTGTTTTACGATGCCCCCTGGATGCTTCTGGTCTATGGGGACTATTTCGAAGTTGGAAATGATGTCTGCGGTAGGTCGCACTGATCTTTGACTTTCCAGGCTCTGACGAAGGCGACCAAGCCGAAACGTTAGCCGAATAAAGTCTTGTATCATCTTGGCTTGTGGCTTCAGAAGCAATCTGATACGTACCACACACGATGCCAAGATTCATCGAACGTCGAACCTCTGTGCCACTTTTCTCTCGATTCCAAGGGGAAGAGTCGTGCTGGATAAGTAGTATTATGACTATCAAAACAAAGCTTGAACTGAGTGTAGAGATCCGAAGTGGAACCACAGTGAAGGCAAAATGAAGGTAATCCGTCGATAATACCGAAAATGCAACCTCTCCTCAATAGCATCTCGGACGTAGCTGAAAGGCCTTCACGAAAGAGATATCGGGAATACTAGCAATGGCTGGCTCCCGGCCAGATCAACCCAGCTGTTTTACGTTCTTTGCCAGCGACGCATCCCCACCCGCGGCGAGGGGTTATAGGTGATGTCAGGCGGCCATAGTTAACAATACATCCCTGGGGCTCTATTACCGCAATACTTCGAAATACGAACGTGGTATCATTTCTGTGGAAACGTATTCGCGCACAGAGGTGAAGGGATGGATTGCTCTGTTCGCCTTATTTTTCGACCTCGTCGTTAACGAATTGAAAATTTTCCCATTACTCTCAGGGACGGTAGTAAAGTGTCCTAAATGGCCAGTCTATAGTTGGCCAATAGGTCACGCAGTGCTCGCCTTCGTCCCCACCCGCAAAGCATGGGGAAAGGCGCGAAACTCGCGCTGACGTGCCGCAGTGGGCGAGGTCTGGGCCGCATCCCAAGTGGCCAATGTCCTAGGTGGCACCTAAGGCTAGTCGGCGAACCTGGGCAGAGAAAAGGTAAAGAGCGTGGAGAACGCAGAGATCGCAGAGGGTCATGTAGAGGGCGACCAATATGTACCCCTGAGTACATTTAGTGATCTCTGCAATCCCCATGCACTTTCCCCTTTCTCTGCACGTCATGTAGAGCGTGTTTTGCATCCCTGCCATGTCGCAGAGCGAAGAGAAGAAGGGTGATTGGTGATAGGTGTTGAGGAAGCCACCGGAGCTATCGATAATATTGATAACTTTCTGCCAATAAGGTGTCCCCAGCTGTCCCCATTATTGTTCCACTTATTGATTGTGTTACAGCCCCTTCCTTGGTCATGGGAGCATTTCACCTCTAAACAATTAAATGGGAATGGTCTCCACCCTAACACGTCGATTGGCGCAGCGGGTTCGTTCCTTGTGGACATAGGATCGGTCGCGGGATCAGTTCCATTCGAAACCCAAGGTTTTGCAACCCTCTCAGGTTACTACCTTGCATTCTACAATTCTTTCAAAGTGAACCAGCAATGCTTTGTGGTGCAGTGGCAAACGTCGCGCTCATGGGCGCTGCATTACATGGTTCAAGTCCATGGGCGACGCGACTTTTGCTAGGAATGTAGTGAAGTTCGCCATTCAGAGCGGGGTCATCTGGCTGTCTCGCCTTTCATTATTCACCGTTTACGGCCGTAGTTCACCACCTTTGACTCCCAGTCTATGGCACTTTACTACCGTCCCACAAGAATGCTGGGTTGTGAACAAAACTTTCGCCCCAGGCGGGACTAGAACCCGCACCTCTCGCTTTCCGGGCAAGTGCGCTACCAGTTACGCTACCGGGGCACCATTTCATTCCAACTCAGCTCTTCATGGTATACTTACCATAGCTTGTCTTCACGCACCCTTATAAACAACAATCCGCTTGTCAAACAAAAACAAGCCCCCCCATTATTCATCGAACTATCCTTGTCGTCCGATATCTTGAAAACAATGGCATATTATAATTCTGGAGATCAATTTACACTTTATCTTTTCTTGTAATTATACAGTAGCCCGTGCACAGGCTCAAAAATGACTTCACTGGCTATATCGTTGTGAGTGGCCCTCATATAGAGGAATGCCTTAAAGGCAAGATTCGGGATAAAATAGGTGTGGAAAAGCGTTCAGTTATGAAGCTATAGGTGGGAGGTGGTCTGTAAAAGAGAAGGAAAGCAAACGAAACCACCGATTACGCCCCGTACAGAGACCTCCCCTATTTCAGCCATTCCACCTTGGGATAGAGAAGAGGCGCGTTGGACGAGTTTCACGAACCTAACTCTACTTGCTCCAGTGCCAATGACATTGGATCGCGATGGGACCGCTGCCTCAAATGCGCCCGCGCTTTTCAAGCAGCGCCACGTGGCAACCGACAGCGGAGGGTGGGGCTTGCGGACGAAGGTGTGAGTTGCGGGTCGGACGAGCTCCTTGCGCCTTTGTCGCGCACTTTCAAGCGGCAAAAGGGGCGCGACATCAACACTTGTCCGCCTGCCTACTACCCCCGGGATGGAACAGGCGAGCGCGCCTATCACGGAGCGTGTCTTCAATCCTCTGACTGTGTGCAGTTCCTGACCTTCCACTTGCTGCGATCCCAGAGATGTGTACTTGAACCTTGAGAGCACCGAAGATGTTTCAAAGAGTTGAAGAGGGAATATCGAGTCGCTTTCCGAAGTTGCAACTTTGGAGACCGTCATTGGGCAGTCTCTTGGATAATGGGTCGATGCAAAAAATCTTCATGGCGAGAGTTCAGATG